TTTTTCAAGTGGATGGTAAATATTTTTTTTCGTCAGTGGCAACCCTGTTTGCATTGTTCAACTTTGCATTCAACTTTTGGTTGAATGGCCTTTCAACTAATCGCTTTCAACAAAGTTGGTCGCCAGCCAACATTTAGCCATTCAACTTTTTTTTCGTGCAACCCTGCGTTAAGTTGAACGCAATTGTTGAACGCAAAGTTGAATAATGCAAACACTTCTTTAGCAAACCACTGTTTGTGGATTCGTGTGTGTGTGCAAAGCTTTTGTAAGGGAGCTAAGGGAGTGTCAAAACTTCAATGTCAATAATGAGCAAACCTTTATTTATTGAATCATGATCCTATCCTGTGGCATTGAAAAGACACAAGTGCTCAGATCTCTGCCGTCAGCAATTTCCGCCTCACCCCACTCAGTGTTATATCAACATCCATTTCTTTTTAATCTTTTGTGCCACGTTAGATTTCCACAATAGTTTTGTATCCAGAATTACTCCCATATACTTCACTTGTATTCAGTATTGTTTGCGCTTTCCTGCAAACAGCCGGCAGATATGGGCCCGCGACTAGTTAGGCCACTTCGTCCGCATATGCTTGGGCGTAGATATGACAGTCATTAAGAGTGACAAGGAGAGAATCATTTGCCAGACCCGGAGCAAAGGAGAAAGCATACCACCCGCAGGAGAGCGCTTGTTAACTCTGCACGTGACATATTGACCTGCTTCTGCCTAAATCCCGCTGTGCCAGCATTGAACGAATCCAATTTACCAGTACAGAATCATGAGGGAGATTCTTAGAGCATAATTACACATGCTATCGAAGGTGGCATTGTCAAAGCACTAGAGCTGGAAAAATATCGATGTAACTATCGATTGTATCGATGGTTTTTGACTATCGAAAACATCGGTGGTTTTGTAAGTGCTATCGATTGTTTTCACTCATACATACATTATTGAGTAAAATATATATATTTCAGAGCGCATATGCTGCTGTAAGCCAAAAATATTTGGTTGATAAACTTTTGTTCCTTAACAAAAATATCGACATATTTTAACAATTCTGATCTCATTTTCAATTAAAGTTGTTGTGTTTAATTTTCCCTACGAATGCGCAACTATACCAATCTTTCAGTCAATGTAATAAACGCTATTTTCAGCCGTACAGCCAATATCGAATTGTGTGTTTCTTTGAAGGTCTTTTTAAATAAAGATTTTTTCGATGAAAAAGATTTTTTAGCTTTAACATCTTATTTTGAAGATTTCTGTAGGGGACTTTCTCTGGCAACACTATTCACTGTCGGAAACGGTGTGACATCGACGTGAACTCTCAACTTTATTGTGATCTCTTTCGTCCAGGTGTTGAAGTTGGTTGCCGTGGATTCCATTAGTTAGAGGGTTAGACTTCTTACAGAGGTGAGCTAAATACATAGATCGGAGAGATAGCCGTTTGCTTTCGAGTATAGACCAAAAATTTCTGGTGTAAGGGAAATAATAACAATCAAACAGAAGCGAGGAGAGAGCCCTATTTGTTTTTCCTTGACTTCTATGTTTTATGTCTTGAACTCGAAAATGGCTCGAAAACCACGAAACGTCGAAATTTTCCAGCCTCGAAAAACAACTGCCAGAAATTGTATGAATGTCGCGAAAACGTCCTCGAAAAGTAGTGCGTAAATTTCGATGTTGCGTTTTGGGCAATTAATTCATTCCATTTTTAACCGACTTCAAAATAGGATGAGGTTATTAGTTCGTCGGAATCTTTTTTTTAGAAACAAAATATGTATAAAATAATATTTTTTATTTGAATTTTTTTTTACCGACTCTACAAAAAGGAGAAGGTTAACAGTTCGTCGGAATATCTTTTTTTATGTATGTTACCGCATAACTTTGGACCACGTTAACCGATTCCGAATTTTTCATCCCAGAGGTACTTCAAGGGTGGTCCCATACTAGTTTTGTTTAGATCCGATAATTGGATCGTAAAGAAATTAACGATAGTCTTAAAGTTTTATACTATGTCTCCATTGAGAGATTTATCCATTAAGATTTAATAAATCCAGTTGCTAAATTACAACCGTCTCCATTACCATTACGAGATATGCTTGACGTTCACGTTTTTAAATATTTGACGTTTGCTTATGTATGATTTTACAAATACAGTTGCGGACATTGATATACAGACAGATAAAAGGAAGGTACCAAGCGGAATTTCATTATATGAATTCTGAATATTATTGGCTTCTTCGTGGTAAATATGTATATATAATATATAGTTTGGAAAGTGTAAAGAATGGTACCATATTCCGAATCATATTCCCGAATTTAAGAAAAATTATCAAAACGGTAAAAAACATTTGCGGAAAGAAAAATTTTTGTAGAACTCTCTTATTCATAGGAGGGAACCGAAAATCCAAACGTGGGCCTTTGGCATATCATGAATACGAACTGAGTTCTAGAGGATGTTCGGTGCAATGTTATCGAAGCAGAACCATTACCGAAATTTATAAATTTTTTGTCGCAGCGCGTAAATGACTTATAGAAAGCGGAGAAGACTCTGCATGATATTACTATAAAACATTTCTTCAAAATTTTTAGTTTTTAAAATAATATTTTCTTAATTTATTACAACCAAAGTTATGTAAATATGTATTACTAATTTTCCTCCCAAACTAACAAAAAAATATAAAAATCCCTAAAAAACGAAAATTCATGTTTTTATGATACGCTAGATTTCAATGTCCTCAACTGTATATTGAAAACACAAATGTCATTTGACTTATGGCATGTGAATTTGTGGTTGCCACATCCAACAAATTGTACTTATTGATCAATATTATTGAAGATTTAACTTAAATCTACTGCCTTTCGAGATTTAATTTTATATGATAAATCTCAAAAGATTTAACGTCAAATCTCGTCAGAGGGCTAAATCTTCATTAAATCTCACAATGGAGACATAGTATTATATGAGAATTGAAGACGGTTTTGTTTTTTGCTTACTTGTTTATTTTCACTTTTTCATGGCATTTTGAATATTTTGCTTTAATATTTGCTTCAGCTATGTAGTACGATGTATTACACAAAGAAACTCTGACTAAACTGCCAAAATTCTGCAAACTCGCTATTATTTACGAGGATGCAAAGAGGTGCATTCCCAAAAACAGCCCCGAAAATTTTCGAGGCTTTCTAGTTGTCTTCGCGCTTAAGAGAATACCCTAATTTTAGTACGATGTCTGTCTTTGACTCCCTGTGGAAGGATTGAGGTCTCACCGTCTTCTATTCTAGTGGAGTGACAGACGGTGTCGAAAGCCTTCGATAAGTTCTTTTGCAAGGGATGTTCCATTTAAAGATGCGGGTTATCGCGGAAGCTGTGCTTAACCCTTTCCTTCTTATAGTAGCCATATACATAACTACCAAATTTTATTACTATGTTTGACCTTTAAAAAGTATTAGTTATTAAAAATATATTTTATACTCATCTGATGTCAATAAAAAAAAAATACTTTAAAACTTTAAACTTTGAAGAATATTTGACGTCAAACTCAATATATTTTTTCCAACGTCAAAGAAATTCGGTAAGGAATGGGTTAAACTTTTTACTACCCATTTCTTATGTACACATCGAAATCGCATAATAAGAGCTACCCTAATGTTGTCTCACATTTGTATGGACATATGTATGTAGTTCCCACGCTTTCTCGCATTTGATTATAGACTTTTGACCCAGTGACTTATTTTATGCGCAACAAAAAATTCAACAACATACTATAGATAATAATAATAAACATAACAAAAGATAGCGGGTAAACAAGAGTAAACACAACGAAATAGTTTATTAAAAAAAAAAAAAACAACAAACAATTTTTTTGCCAGCTGAGTTCTTATCACATCATGTGTGTATGTACAGACAAGTGCTTTTTGTTGGTTGTTGCTTTTTCTTCGATTTATTTGCAAAGTCCGCAGCTTTTGTTGTGTTGACATTCAGCGGCAACTCGCATTAATGGATACGAATAGAGATTTATTATTTGTGAGATAAGAATTTTTCGTTGATAAAATAAGTTGTCGCGACCTTTCGCACAATAATTTTCTAGAACTGAATCAAATTAATAGCGCAATTAAGTTTCAGCTTAAGATAATAGGTATGTATTTATGGAATATTTTTTGTTCTATTTTCGGTTTTTTATATAAATGCTGTAGCGAAAATGCAGAAAATCAGACTTAATTAAGAATCCTAACCATGTATGCCGCCTATAAACGATTTTTCCAAAACAAATTTTAAGTGAGTTTCCAATCAAATCAATTCGGTTTAAAAGTTAAAAGAAGTTCTTTTAGCTGGGAGAAAGCCTACTTTTAAAAATTTTTTTTAAGAGAGTTGCCACCTGTTTTGGGGTAATCAACAAGGTAATTGAAATATTTTATATGGGAATTAAATAAACGAGAGGTAGACATAAGAAATCTTGATTTTAAAAACATTTTTGAACAAGGTTGCCGCCTGTTTCGAAATTCGATATCAAAATAAAATTATATATAAAAATAAATAGCAAGTTAAATTAAATATTTTAAAATGGGTGTCCAGCGAAAGAGGTTTAAGTAGGTTTATTTCTAAAATATTTTTGCAGATGGTTGCCATCTGTTTAGAAATTTAAAATCAGTTTAATTAACAAGTTTATTTGAATATTTTATTTTGGCAACAATCGACCGAGGTTAAAAACAGTTTATATCAAAAATATTTTTGACGAAGTTCAAGGTGGCTAGAAAGTCAAGATCAACTTAATTAACAAGATAAATTAAATATTTTAATTTGGGTGTCAATTTTTGAAAGTGGTTGCCACTTGTTTAGAAATCCACAATCAATTTTATGAACTTAAATTTAGTTGTTTTTGTTTAATATTTGTCTCCCTTTCACAAATATTTAAAAAATAACTTAATTTAACTAAATAAAATTAATTAGTACTCGCAATGCAAACCTTTATATTTCAAGATATGTACCTTTCTAGCTATCTTTCCGGACCATCAGGGACCTATCCAAAGAGACGATCACCCCTAGCTCGCCGTGCATTGCTTTGACGCTCTTCAACTATGCTGGGTATGCTAGATACCTCGGATTCGCCGACAAATTGGCTAGGAAAGGCACATCGTCTGTCCTTATGGAACCGTAATCGTTTTTCGGAGTAAGATACAGATTGCCATCTTTGCATTGAAGAGGAGGAGACCTTAGTTCTTCTACAGTCGAACTTCTTATTTAGTATTCTAAGCTCAGTTTTTTTTATTTTCAAATACACAACCAAGATCTTAACTTTTTTCTCATTATACAAATGCAGCAATTTGATTATATGCACATACATACATTCAATTTCAATATCTTTTTCTTTTGGTAAAAAGTTAAACTTTCTTATCCGCAAAATATTTACCCACCCGTTAG